AAGGTCAGCTATGAGCACCCCCTCTCGCCCGATCCGAAGATCGGCCTCTACTAACCGTGATATCCGTTTTTGAAAACGTTATGTGTTCTTATTCCGGTTATTAGCCTAGAATTACTATGTTATGCGCGCAGCAAACAAGTATAGACTAGATTGCCTAATTTGGAAATAAGCATTGCATATCCGTTTCTCTTGAAAAACACTTTGGAATTTGCTACTCGCATGTAGGCTAAAATACGGATTTCAACGAGTTTTTCCAACTCAAACAACCCAACCTTCACCCACAGGCATTCAAACAGTTTATCTCACATAAGCATCTAGCCACATGGTAAGCATGCTGTTATGATAGCATTCACACTCATGCGATATGCTAAAGCAAAAATACTTACATCATACTCCGTGCCAAAACAATAAACTAGTTAGCAAACATGCATGTCCTAGCTCATGTTAAATTGTCTAATGCAATACATACAGGATGCAATCGAAGTAGGCTCGGCTAACCTAAGCATGGCATGTGAAATGCAATCAATTGATGCACGTATTCAATTTGGAATCGAAATACAAATGCAGTTAGCGTGATGTACCAAGCCCAGTGCATGCAAGACAAATGTATGGATGCACGCATGCATAGCATGAGGTATGCTAAATTGAACATGTCCTATTACTAACCATCAAAGCAGGTAAGTAAAAGGGAAGAAAGAAGTGGGGATTGGAAGACATACACACCACTCACACTCACTTATTACAGATTTGCCCTCGCTTAGGGGGACCAAATAAATAAAAACAAATTAATTAACTATGCAAGCTAATTAAATATTACAAATTGCCTAATCAGCTAAGCAAATTAACTAATCTAGGGAAAACAGATAAACCGCCCCGGGAGGAGAGCTCAATGCAACGCATGCTCGGTCTTGCTCGGAAATGCACCGCCATGCATAGGTTGCCTCTGTTTTCCTTCCTTTACTCCTCTGGAGGCTGCCAAAACCTCAGGATTGCTTCTCTGGATACTGGGAGACATCACCGGCCGAGCGGGACTATCACCGGCAGTGTTATGTGGCCACCGGCCATTGGTGAAGCTATCGGCAAAGAAAGGATTGCCGGTCGGCACTTGGCACTGCCGGTCGGCAGAGGGTTCCTGCAGAATATGCAATTGACAGCAACAGAGGGCAAGGCAGAGCATGGCAGCACAATTCAAGGCATATATGCACCAATCATGTCCCTTATCATGTTTGTGACTCAAAAGGACATGTGTCTCGATTCTCGGACCACCAATCACGCATTTCCATGCATGATGGCCCAAGGAGTCAAGTGTGCAATTTTCATGTCAAATGAAATGCAAACCAAACAAACGAACCAGGGCCCAATTCCTATCACCAAGTCAAGGAACAAGGCATGCATGCAAGATGCAATGCAACCTAGGCATGCAAGCTAAGGATGCAACATGGCATGGCAAGGCCTTTATGCAAGCATACAAGGAAACATGAGGCAATGCTAACCAATGAAAAGGTGGACTTATACATGATTTAGGCAACTCTAAAATAGGCCTAAAACAGTGGCCAAAGTGACCAAAATAAAGGACTAAATACACATACACACATGCACATGTTAAAGGGTCAACCCTTAGGCACAAATGAAGCAACTCTCAAGCACATTTGAATGAGGCAATCATGGACATATGGCGTGCAAGATAAGCATTGGAACTCATGTTAGGATGGTGTCAAACCAAGCAAACAAAATAGACTAAGCATGCAATAATGGCTCAAGTACTTGAAGCAAGTCAAAGGGACTTGAACCATGACTAAGTCAACCAAGCCTCACAAGGCTAAGGGGACTTAAAATAGATTCAAGGCAGACCTAGACCATGTAAAGGGGGGCTCTTAGATGGCATCTAAGTGGCTCAAATTCAAAGGCATGCACAAGTGCCAAAACATGGAGCATGCAAGACAAGCTTTTAAAGCATTAAAGAGACATCCAAGGCAAGCATATAGGCATGCAATGGGGACTGAAATGACATGATGGATGGTTCCAAATTACCAAATCAATGCAAAAATGTCATGCTATACAGGTAAACATATAGGCATGCAAATGGGACTGAAATGACATGGTGGATGGTTCCAAATCACCAAATCAATGCAAAAGTGTCATGCTATACATTCACATACTTAAGGCCAACAAGCCGGAATGCAAAGGGGCTATACTAGGCATGCCAAATCCGACCCAAACAACCTAGGACAGACCTTAAACATGGCAAAATATGCACAAAAGCTTCACAAGACTAAGCCTAAAACATGCTTAAACAAAGGCTAATAACCTAAGGCATATTAAGGCAATAACAAGGCATTACATGGTAGGTATGCTAAGCATGCATGGTGTACCAAAACCAACACACAACAAGGTTATATCATGGCATAATAAGCATGGAAAGCAGCCAAGACATGATCAATACAAACTCTAACATGATGCTCCCTCAAGAGGCCAAAAAGGGTCCCTTTCAAGGACAACAAGGGGAGGGGATGGCCCTCCCCTTTTGGAGACTTCAAGGCACCATCTTTGCCACTGAAATCCCTCAAGATTTCAGTGGTGAAGAGGTCCAAACACCAAATTCTCGAAACTTGCACAAAATAGCACAAAAATGAAGCCTTACAAGGCTTAGGAGGGGTCAAACAAACCCAAACCACAAAACACTCTTAACAAACAATCAAGAGGGCTAAAAAAAAGAACTTTTTTATGTTATACACTAAACACAAAAACAGTTTAAAGGTGGGTAAAAATTTTAACGCCCTCAAAATAATAACATTAAACCCATCAAATAAGACATGCATTGACATATAAACTAACCACATTTCTTTATTCCTTAGAGTTCCATTACATAAGTATTACATGTTAACATCAAAACAAAATGCCCTACGGGCTTACAGCTTTCCAAGTTAACACTTGGTTACAACAAAAGAGTACTAACTCGTTTACACATTAAGCCCTTGGCTTGAAGTTACATGTAATACATCAAAAGTTAAGCGACAAAAGTATGGGGATTTACCATTGATTGCAAATGTGATGTTGTGTATGCTTATAATGTGACAAACACATGGTTTTGTTGGTTAATGTTGTAATATTTTCACAGGTTTTGGGTTACAAGTGATTGTAAATGTGATGTTGTGCATGTTATAATGTAATAGACACATGGTATTATAGCTAATGTTTGTATGATTGGGTGTGTATTTTGTAATGTTAGTGGAAGGATATATACCTGAAAGTATTGGTGGGATTTGGTGATAGTAGGGGTAGTGGCTGTTAATTGTTGAGGATTGTCGAACTGTGTTGATATTATGTTATGTAGTTGGTGTTTGGTGCTAATGTTATAGGCTGTTAGTAGGAGGCTTAATGGTACGGCAATGTGGCTCTGGGTTGATGTTATGTAGGTAAATGTGAATGTTACAACCCACACACCTCCCCTACAAAACGCTAATGATTTAACATCAATAATGTAACACCAAGTAACATCAATAATCTCCATAATCACTCCACGAAATCTCTAAAAGAAATAGAAATTTTAAACCATACCTTATCCACATACACTAAATCCCCAAAAAACATCAAAAACATAATCACAATAAGGGACAAACAAGTAAACTCAAATATTATTAAATCAAATAAATAATAAATACTACAAATAAAAAGGACTATTTGGTTTATAAAAAAAACATGTAGGACTAAATGGACTAACATTTTGCCAAATGAGATTTATGAGTAATTATTCCTTCTTTTTTTTTTGGTTGTAATTATTCTTTTTCTTTTTTAATTAGAAAACGCTATGTTGATTAGAAGCCTTTAAATGGTTAACGGACAAGACAGCCCAATCAATTACTAACTTTTCCAGTTGAAATCATAAGATCAAGGCCAAGCACCCTAGGTTGATTATAATAGAACATTAAAGATTTGACCAATTGACAAACTCCATCCATTCTAACAGTTTAATTAGGTATAATCAAATATTGAAATGATAATTATTTTTTGCTTCCTACATCATTCTATGTTAACAACCAAACAGTGGAAGGAGAATGAGCTCGTAATTCCATTCACCATATACCACCATGGAGTTTACTTCAACTCTTTAATGTGAGACTTTGTAAAAATTATTAATTTAAAGAAAATAAGGAAAAAAAAACTTAATCAATTAGTTGGCCATAATAATTGCACAAAATACTATTCCTTTGCTGCATTTATTGGTTCCAAATTCCAATCAATACTGTCCTAAAAAATAAAAAATAAAAAAAATTCCAATCAATACAGCCAGAACTCTTTACTTCTAAAATTCTAATTGATCCTAAGGCAATTAATTTCATTAATATGTCTGTTCAAGTGGTAATTTTATCATGAATAAATAATCTGACTTCGTTGTTGCCAGGTAAAGTCCAAATATCCATGCACTCCTACAAGTCTGCATCGCAGGCCATTAAGACCGACTCCTTCTTGTCATCTTCATACTTTATGTTAAAAGCACCAACCTTTAGTGGCAGCCTTTTTGTTACCTCATTCTTCAACTCAATGATTCCGGAGGTCGACAAAAATCGAAATCATGTCATGTCTTCTCCATATGTTGCCTTTACAATCAGGGTGCTCACTTCTTGTCTTGCAGTAACATTTGGCACAGCTCAAGCCAGCTTAGTCTTGACTCGCTTGGAAGTTAGGCTAGTTCTTTAACTAGATCCCAACACTGCATTCTTTGAAAAGCCTTCTGAATTTCTAATTAGCGGCAGATCTTAGGGGGTTTGAGGCAGTGTGGAAAGAATGGCATCACGGTTGCAATGAGCAACTGAGGGGTTTGGTCAAGTTGATTGAAACACCAATTCAGAGGAGCCCCCAACTTTTGAACATTGTTCATTAGTAACACCAATGAATAAATTCTCCATCGGAGTCATTTTACCAAACTATTGCAAAACACCAGTTTGCACACAAAGTTCATTGTGATAGCCCCTAGGCATATGATCCAGCAACCTCTCAAACTATCCAAAACCCACTTCCGTTGTAGAGCAGAGTGATTTTCCCTTTTCTCTTTGAAGTTCAAAGCTTGAAGGCTTTGGTTGATCAAGTACAACAACAGTGGGAAGTAGACTTGGACTCGTAGAAAGAGTAGGATCGTTTGCTCCGGCACTTGGAATGGATTCATCCACTAGCTTTACCTTGTTTCTCTTACGAGATGGCCACCTCGAGATATCAAGCTTCCTACATCTGTGCTTTAGAGTAGATTCACTAACTGCAAAAACAACAGTAAAAATAAGAAATACTCCATTTCTGTGCTGCTACTATTTTTTTTTCATTATTTATTTTATTTTATTTTAGTATTGCAAGTGATTTCTGATTCTGCTACTTTTGAATTAGTCAGCTTTCATATAATATAAGAACAATTCAGCCAGTTGAAAGCAACATGAGCAGGAAGCAACACTTCAACTTCAAAAACACTTGCGTACAATTTAGCTTGCTTGCAGCGTCTAGACAAGTCAGATGGAAATGCTGTTCAAGAATCTCCCGACTAAGTGAGTCCTCTTTTTTTCCAGATTTTATCTTGGATGGTTCTCTGGTATCTTCTATCTCTGAAAACACAACAGCATTGTGGCTTTGACATGCACTAATCACATTACTTCCATTCTCTATAAGACCACCATTTTGTCGGGCTTGAGGATGCGGTGGAGACCTAGTAGTTTGCAATATGTCAAGCCTCAAATCAAGTTTCTCATTTGTAGATGATTTGGTAACTCTGACATGTTGCATCATTGTTACCAACAGGGAGTACAACAGAAGGAATTAGTATTTGTGAACTGAAAACCAAAATTATATTTTAAAACTTCACTAAAAAAATGATAAAATGCGAGCACGATAAATCTTGTATATCTTATTAATGTTGCATTATGATCAAGAAGGTAATCATTTAAGTATATAATGTTCAAATGATAATCACTAATGTAAAATAGTGTGTCAATATAGAACTGAGGTTAGATTCAAGAAAAATAATAGTTAATTTAAATTTGAATAGCCACTAAAAGAAAGAAATATAAATATTTGGAAATTTCAGCAATCATATTGTATGGATTAATTTGCCCCATATTTGGACCAAAATTGATAAACATATAATATGAGAAATCAAACTTGTAACACCCGCATCCTTTAATCCATTGGAGAGTGTATTTAATTCCCTTATTTTCCTTTTTGGGAGTCTTTGGAGTTGTTGAATGTTGGTTTTGGAGGAGTACGATTTGATTTAAACTTGTTGGTTTGTTTGTTTGCACTTGTTCTTGTCAAAAAGTTCCTTGGGAACTTAGAAATTCTATTTTGGGGTTGACACCAGCCTTCTTAAGGGTCGACCCTTACCTGTTGGTGAAGTTTCTAGAAGTGTTGCTGGAATTTAGGGTCAGCACCAGCTTTGGTGGTGTCGACACCTGCCTCTTGTTCCTATCCACAAGGGTCGACACCGGTCTGGGAAAGGTCGACCTTTGTATATCTTGTTTGTTGCCAGCATTGTCTTTTCTTGTTGGAGGGTCGACACCACCACACCAGGGGTCGACCCTTGCGTGTTTATTTTCAGATTTGTGGGTCCGAATGGGCCCTACCTTTGGGGGGTTTTGGGCCTATTATTTTATTGACCTTAGGGCTACTTTTCTACTACTATAAATAGGCTCCAAACATAATTTCATTTCACTTTTCTCCTCTTTCCTCTCTCTCAAATCGTGAGTTTTTCTCTCTCTCTAAACTCAAGCTTTTGGCACTTAAATCTCAAGATCTACTCACCTAGAGTGATCTTTTCACCATGGCCCTTTGAGAAAGGTTGTAGATCTCGTCAAGGGCTTCCTTTTCGCCCGATTACTTCATGGTTTCGTCACCATCGATTTTTGGGTCGTTATCTCTTGGCATCAAGAGGTAGGGGTTTCTAGTTCTCTTTCAATACCCTCGTTTATGGATAGATTTGTGGTATTTTCTTTATATAAATACAAAAGTTTATATTTTTATGTATATTGTGATGACTCATGAGATTGGGGGTTAGGGTTTGAAGAGAGATGGGTTGACTTGTTGGTTCATGATCTTGGGTCATGAGTTTGGGTGTAAAAGTAATAGAAGGGTTGGAATGAAATGTGTTTTGTGAAAAGCTTTAACTTCTCTTAAAAACCCTAGTTTGACTCATGAAGATGGTTAATGGTTTCGCTTCAATTGATAATAGAATCATGAAATTAAGGTGTTAAATTACACATGTACAAGTTTAATTGAAATTTTAAAGAATTTTGAGTAATTTATGTAAAAGTTGCGATTGAACTCATAATGTTGATATTTTAAATTATGTTATAATATGAAACCAAACTTGGGGAAAAGAAATTACTAATGGTAAGGATAATGCGGGAATTGCGATAAAATGATGAAGTGAATATTTAAGAATCTTATTGTACTATGTTAAATTGTGTTAAGTGAAGGTTGGGTTAAGATAAGTGTGAGTAACAATAAATGGGAGATTGTGAAATATAGCGATGTTATGTGAGGGAGTTGTATCAAAGAAATAAATTCAAGAGATTTAATTTATAGGCTCACATAGTAATTGATAATCGATGTGTTGTGAAAATTGATTTGGAAGACTTCATAATAATATGGAAGAGTAAAGAAATAGTTTGAACCCAAGAATTATGAACACATGAATGACTTGGTGGGTAATAGAAAAAGGTGGTGGAACAGAATGTGTACTTGTTATGTAAGTGGAATTTTAACCTATGGTGGATGCGTTTTGAAATAATGTGTTACGGGAAGAATGAATGATGTGTTGGGTTTTCCCACTAATCACAATGACGGATAACTTGATAAAATTTATGGAATGTAATGTTGTTTCGGGGTCCGTTTCCCGCTGTATTTTGAGCCTGCAAAGCGTGGCGCTTGAAATAGGTTCCGCCTTCCTTTTGTCTTGTGACCGGTAAAGAGTAAGGTTCCATGTTCCTTTCGGCTTGTGACCGATAAAGCATGAGGTTCCGCCTCCCTTCTGGCTTGTGACTGGTAAAGCGTGAGGTTCTGCGTTCCTTCCGGCTTGTGACCGATAAAGCATGAGGTTCCGCCTTCCTTCCGGCTTGTGACCGGTAAAGTGTGTGATTCATGGCGATGACTTGTTAATGGATCCGATGTTTAATATGACATTATTTGAAAGAATGGAAAATGAGATGATAAATGGATTAGAGGTTGGTGATGATAGACTCACTGGATTGCTTGTGACTATAAGGGAAAATTATGAGTTTTGTTTTGTAAATAATTGAGACATTGTGTTAAAAAGGGTTTGTTATTCTTGTGTCATGTTTGAACTCTAATTAATAATGTAAATGTGGATGTGATGTAGTTGTAATATGTTAGATTATAATTGATAATGCAAATGTAAATATGATGTAATTGTTATTGAATATAGAGGAGATTTGGATTTCTACATTAAGGAGTTACATCAAATATGAATAGATTGGTTGGAGTAGCATATATGTGGGATGTTTTGGAGTATTAAGGGAACTTGAACTTGAGATTATGAAGTTATAATAAATGTAACTAGTAAAAGGGGAGAATGGGAATAAAAAGAGGAATGTTAAGATGGGAATTTAGCAAGGAATATTTTGGAATGGGTTAATAAATTTAAAATGATGTTGTTCCTTAAACGTATTTGTTTTCAAAAAGGATTTATGGTTTTCTAACGAAAATGGATAGTTTTGATAGTCGAAGGTTTTTCCTTAAATGTTCAAATAAATTTCGAGAAAAAGATGCGCTACATATGATATTTTGAAACTACAAAATGTCACCGTACTATATGGTATCACCTTGCATGCATGATCATTTCTATCTATAGGATGGTTATTGTTTTTGAACTATGAGATTCCTACAAGGCAATTGTGCTCACCCCTTATTGTTTCAATTTTTTTTTACAGGAAAATAATTTGAATTAATTGGTTAGAGGATTAGGAAGTTCATGTATCTCTTATGTGTAATCTCATTGTGCATTGATGTTTGTAATTATTTATTTGTAACTCCATAATGGGAGCTTGACATGTATTATTATTATTGTTGTATTTATCATGAGAGAGAACATGTACTATTATGTTTCTATTACTCAAGGGTAATAGATATTTGTAAAAAAAAAAAAAAAAGACCTAAATTACAGGCTTTTGGTAATGTTTCCGTGTAATTACAAATTGGGGCCTGACAAAACCAGACACCAAAATCATTTTAACAATTTGGGTTGTGCAAATTTGATCATCAATCCGGTAATAAAAGGAAACTTAAGACTCAGGGAAAAAGGAAAGGGGGGAAACTCGCTTAATATGCCAATTCGAAAACTGAGGGCTCAAGGATTGCCATGATAGAAAAATCTGATGCTGACAAAATAATATATATTGTATATTTCTTTAGCTGATCCTAAAGCATGCACATTTTCTAATACTTAAAAAAAATAATAATAAATTCAGGCTTATATTAAACCAACCTACTAGATCCTTTACATAAAAATAAAAAAAAATAAAAAAAGGGAAGAAGCAATTTTATCCATCTCTAAATGTACACCCAATGGATTATGTGATCCATATTGATAGAATACGTCTAGATGAAGAACATTGGAGCTTACTAAAATAAAGGGGAGTAAATGATGAGGATTAAAATGACGATTTAAGGTGGCTTTGTCCACAGAGAAACTACCCCAAAGCCGAGTCATATGGTATCTCCTACTATAGGAATTGCATTATAGAGTATCTTGCACCCATAATATATGGAATGCACTATGATTTTTAATATCTGTTAGAATAGTCGTGTGTTGTTTAGTTCTATAATTACTCCAGTTTCATCACAGAAAAACATCACCACAGAGGACCATGACCATCCACACCATAACTACTCATCTCAACTCAATCACTCTGTAACATACAAATATAGTAAGAAAGCCAAGGCATGAATGGCAGTATATTTCCAAATTTTAAGAAATTAAGAATAAAAATAGGTATTTATTGACTTTTATTTGCTTAGCTAATTTGAGGACCAGCCCCAAGTTCTCTATAGATTTTTCTTACCTTAGGAGCATAGCTTATCTTTTGCGATGTCATTATAAGCTCAAGTACACCAACATAGGACCGTCGAGAGGTTTCAAACCCTGGCAAAGCCAAGGTTCCCCTAACATTGTAATATTGATCATGATTGAGCACAAGGAGCTCCTTGCAGTAGTAAAACTGCACATTTGGGGTCCAAAATGGTAACTTCAACTAAAAAGCATGGCTATGTGTAGACACCCCATTTTTTACTGCCCTTAAGACTTGGGCACTACTGATGGTTTACTTGGTGGAGAAATGTGTGCAGGGCAAAAGTTTCTTCGGCAAGGAGAGAGACAAATCTCAACTTCATACCCCTTTTGGACCAAAACAATCTTGATCAAAAGATTTTAGACCTTGAAACCCTCTCTTTCAAAATGTTTTGAAAATAAAGTTTCTACGATGTTCCGACACTTGCATTTTGTTAAATGTCGCGCTTTTTGGTAAACCGAGCAAGGACAAAGTGGAAATGAATGAAAGAGAGATGAAACATTTGAAAAATCTTTCAAAACCCTTTGCTTAGGGGTTTGGAGTTGAAGAAAAGAGGAAATGAGAGAAGAAAACTAGTTTGGGAGAAGTTCGGCATGAATCCGGGTAGGACCAAAACTGTGCGGCTTCACCAAAACTGGCATAACTTTTTGCGCAGTTGGAATTTTGATGCAAGGCTACCACCATTGGAAAGCTTACTTCCGGGGC